ACATTTCAAATTGTATATAAAATCAGCACATTGTACCCCATGATTGCATTAATGTACACAGCTATGATTTAATTAAAAAAAAGAAAAAAATTAAAAACCAAAATATATAAGGAACTCGACTCAATAGCAAAACCCAAATAATCCATTTTTAAAGAGGGCAAAAGGCCTAAATAAATATTTCTCTAGAGAAGACATGTTTCTCTAAAAGACCAACATGTATATATAAAAATGCACAACATTATTAATTATCAGGGAAATTTAACTATAAACCACAATGAGATGTCATTCCAGTTAGAGTGGCTATTATAAAAAAGACCAAACCCCACCCCCCCAAACAAATGCTGGCAAAGATGCAGAGAAAGGGGAACCCTTGTATACTGTCAGTGGGAATGTAAAGTAGCACGAATATTGTGGACGCCTGAGAAAACTAAAACTAAAACTAACATATGACCCAGCAATCCCACTGCTGGGTATATGAGCAAAAGAAAGGAAATCAGTTTATCAAAGAAGATATCTGCACTCCCCTGTTTATTGCAGCACAATTCACAATGGCCTAGATATGGACTCACCCTAAGTATCCATAAATAGATAAATAAATAAAAAATCTGGTATACCCACAATGGAATATTATTCAGCCACAAACAAATGAAATACTGTCATTTCAGCAACATCCATGGGTGTTATGTTAAACAAAATTAACCAGGCAGGGAAAGACAAATATCACATGTTTTCACTAGTATGTGACAGCCAAAGAGTGGGTCTCATGAAGCTAGAGAGCAGATAGTTGCCAGAGGCTGGGAAGGAAAGGGAGGACAGGTGGGTAAAGAGAAGGTGGTTAATAGGTACAAAAATACAGTTAGAAAGATTAAGTTCTAGTATTTGATAGGATAGCAGGGAAAGCATAGCTAACAATAATTTATTGTATATTTGAAGGTAACTGGAAGAATTGTAATGTTTTCAACACAAAGGAAAGATAAATGTTTGAGGTGATACATACCCTAATTATCCTAATTTGATCATTACAAATTGTATACATGTATCAAGATATCAGATGTGCCCCCAAAATGTGTACAACTATGATATATCAGTAAAAACAACAAAAAAGAATGTACTATATGTGATGGTACCTGGCTTACAGTAGGCATTCTATAAATGTACTTTGTCTCATTCATTTTATGTGCTAATATTTTGCTACGGAACAAAGCAAGTTCAATTTTGTTAAATACGAAGTTAATTAAAAGCACACATTCTTATAACTTTTTTTTTTTTTTTTTTGCAGTTTTTGGCCGGGGCCAGGTTTGAACCCACCACCTCCGGTATATGGGGCCAGCGCCCTACTCCTTTGAGCCACAGGTGCCGCCCCAAAGCACATATTCTTATATGTATATGTACATAAGCACTTGCATTTAGGGGCAATAAAGTAAATCTCAGAATCATAAAATCTTAGAGTTGGAAGGGACTCACTGTCATCCCAAATAACTTTTCCCCTTGTGAGGAATCCTGTTACTGTTCTCCTTAATTACTTTTTGTGTTGATGGACTCACACTTCCACAGGAGGTAGTACGGCCAAGACTTGTCATCAGAGTGAACTGGAAGAGGTCCTCCTCTTTCTCCCTCTAGATCTGTCCTTGGGAGCAACTATTCTTTTGCCCCAGGGCAAAAGAGTGACCTAATCCTATGAAATCTTCTTCCTTCTTGTCTACATATTTCCATTTCCCCCAAACATCCCTCACAAGTTTCTAGAAACAGTGTATCCATATCCCTCTTAAATCCCAGCTTGGAACTGGACTCAATCTTTGAAGTGTGGTCTGACAGGACAGAGTCCATGGGATCATCACCAACCTGGTCCCGGTCCCATACTTCTACTATTGCAGCCTAAGGTAATTCTGCATCCCTTTCTTCCACGACACACGTACTTTGTTGGTTCATATTGAGTGTGTATGGAACAAATGCCTAAGATCTTCTTAACATGAACCACTGACAAGCCAAGGCTCTCCCATTTTTTTAAAATTCTAAATGCTGAGCTTCACATTTATTTTTGTTAACTTTCTTCATGATGGTTTTAGCCCTTCCTGTTCCAACCTGTCGAGATCACTCTGAATGTTGATACTGACATCCATCATATTAGCGATCCCTCCCAGCTTTCTGTCATCTGCAAATGTGATCAGCATGCTCCTATGCCTTCATCCAAGTTTTTGATGAAAACTCACTGTATTTTTTAAAAAGTCTTTTAATTTAGTTGATTTGGGTCCAATTTTTGATAATTTTGTAAAGCTATCTAAAAGCAGGAGAATCCAAGCTATAAGATTCAACCTGATTCCAAAACAATGCAATTAAAATAAATATGCTTTGCAAAATTGAGCCAGGCCCCAAAGGTGGTATCAATGTGACCCAGACTCTGGCATGGTCAATCTGCTATTTTGGACAAAGCTAACAATTAAATTGGATAAATGTTTGTTGATGAGGATGACGACACTAGACTTACAGACTGGATGGTGCAGAGGCAAGCAAACACACTGGATTGATTTTTCAGTGTGGAGACAGTTCCCAGCTGGGACAACTCAAAGTGCTGGGGAGGGTTTGTCACTGAATGACTAATTAGGCCGTGTAGAATGATAATTAAATAATTTGGGGCCAAAAATCACATTTGGGGCCTAAAACTCTCTGAACTGGCCAATAGTGCTTTCTATTGCCCTAGAACAGAGGTTCTCAACCTTCCTAATGCTGTGATCCTTTAATATAGTTCCTCATGTTGTAGTGACCCTCAACCATAAAATTATTTTTGTTGCTACTTCATAACTGTAATTTTGCTACTGTTATGAATCACAATTTAAATATCTGATATGCAGGACAGTCTTAGGTGACCCCTGTGAAAGGGTTGTTCGATCCCCAAAGGGGTTGCAACCCACAGGTTGAGAACTGCTGCCCTAGAACAATGTCAAAGCGTTGAGATCTAGGCCGTATCTAGAAGCTTCATTAATTCAGATAAATTGCATAAGGAGGGGGCAGGGTGCCTCAGGGAGAAAGAAGCCTTCGTTCCTAAATGCTTTTCTAGCACCCTCTCTCACTAAAACCAGAGAGGCAGTGAAGTTTGGTATTTAGGAGCACAGACTTTGGGTCCAATACAGTTGGCTCCTAATTCTATCTCTGATGCACATGACCTTGGGGTAAGTCAGCTCTTTAGCATCTCCCAGTTCTAATTTCCTCATCTATGAAACTGAGAGCATAACACTTACCTTAATAGTGTTACTGCAGGTACCTGACTGTGTAACGTTCACACTCATTAGTGCATTCAACAAATGGCAGAGTAAGAAAATTTGGTTGAAGAGGTAACATACGAGTTATCTGTGCTAAAGCTTTGACAAGTATCATAATATTTAATCTTCACAAACAACACCAGGAAGTGGATATTATTATTATCCCATAACACAGATGAAGACACTGAGGCATTAAAAGGTTTAATCAATTGCTTACGGTCACCTAACTAGTAAAATGATGGGGCTGGGATTTTTATCTATGCCTGCGTGATTCCAAAGCCTAAGCTCTCACTCACTGACATTATTCTATGCATTACACTATTATTTGAGACTTGACTTTAGTCAAGAGACTCTACTTGTAATCAGAATAAGAGTCCTCAACCTTTGGTGCTAAGGATCTACCATGCTTCTCATTTGATGTCTTGTGATCAGGTGCAGAGAGGAGGCTTCACAGCCTATAATGAGGACTGGGGATGAGGGGAAGAGGATCACAGCAGGTACACCAATCATTTCTGTCAACACTGCAACCTAAAAGGAGGGTACTAGCAGAGACACACTCACACTTTGCCAGTCATTTAACCAGAAGCCTGAAATGCTGATTAGACCTGGGGAAGGCAAGCTGGTAAGAGCTGCCAAGTCAGATCAACCAACCAAATGGGGACCCCTGGACTGGTACTGCTTCATCTGTGTGCAAGTTGTACTTCGAAGTTTTCTTATGTTTGAGTGGGGATAATGATCCCTAAAGTCTGTGGTGGTTTAAAGGAATAAATGAGACAATGTACCACAATATCTAGCATGTAAAAATTGCTCAATAATTACAATCCTTTCCCCATCCCTTCCCTCTTCACTGAGACCCTGTTTTACTAGGAGATGCTTTACTAGCCCTTTTAAAAATCTGCTTTCCAGTTCTGTTTACACATTTGCTCAAAAAATCCTTTCTCATGGGTCTTCTTGGTATTACCTAAATTTTGAAGGAATTTTCAGAGTTCAAATTGTTGGGATTTTACTATATCCCATATGAAATAAAAATATTGACATGTTTTTGGTTGACCTAACCAATCAGTAATCATTTATGGTATTCAAAACATATTCACAATCGTCACTCTTGTGTGGCTGATGTTCAAAACACACTCTGAGGTTAAATACTGTAATCTTTTCCACTGCAGGGATGAGTGGAGAGCAGCAGCCAGGTGACACAGGCAAGATGACGCAGAGGTGGGCTTCCATCTCAGTCCTCCTGACATCTCCTGATGTCAAGGCCAGAGCTCACTCCTCTCATGATTATACCCATCATGGTATAATCCCTCTGAATAAGCAGTAGATCAATCAATGCCAACGTTTTGGGTAAACCACTTAAGAATAACTTGAGGTTCACCCAGATAGTTTAATCACAATAAGAAAAAAAAAAAACAGTAGTCACTTTGTCTAGGCCGGGAGAGAAATCTACAAATTGTAGTTCACCTGTGCAGATTTTCATTGGCACAACAGGAATCCTGCAACAATGGGTATGACAGGTGCAGCACTGTCAGGGTCATTTGTTAAGGCATTTAGAGATTCAATAAGGCAAAAATCATTTGGTGCAACGGATGCACTGAATTGCTAAATGAAGCAACAAATATAGAAGAGGTACAAAAACTGTCAAGCACAATGCCAGGCACAGAGTCATTTAATCAACTCTTATTACTAGTACCATGAATACAGACACTGAACATTGGTTTGGAAGCAGGAAATCATAAAACTTACTCTGGAATAATCAAGATCTCTGGGTGTTGAGTCTGTTAAAGCTCGTACCAGGGCATTCATCATACAGATCGGAGGAGAAGGTGGAGAGGGCTGAGAAGGTTCCTGTTGTAATGGGCTCTTTGGTTTGGAAGGCAGACGACCTCTCCTCCCTTTCAGACTGTCTGTACGGACAACTGATGCCCAAACAGAAAGAAAACAATCTTCAAAGTTTATGTTATGAATAGCCATAAATCATAAAAAAGAATCAAAACCCGTTACAGTTGAGCAATGACTAACAACAACCATTTGAAAGTGGCAATAGTTTAGAATATTCAGATAGAATATTCATATAATGATTTAATGAGAGTTGAAACAAGCAGCATAAAAGCCACCCCATACTTACATTTGGTAATGGATTAGCCCTAAAAATCTCTTCCTTAAATAGAACACAGATGTATGTATATAAGCTCTCTTATCAATTTTGATAAATTAGAATAAATAGTCCTTAGTTATTTTTAAATGCAAATATATGCCATAAAAATAAAATGTTGAAAGGAAAGAGGAACTAGGAGAATTCACTATCCCAATGTAAATATTAACATTCTTTTGCAGTGATTTCTGAAAATATGTATAAACAAACCAGTAAAAAGCATTAGATCCATACCTTCTTTAACCATTCCGACACTGAGACACTTCTGGAATCGACAGTACTGACACCGGTTTCGACGTCTCTTGTCTACTGGGCAGTTTTTATTTGCCAGGCAAACATATTTTGCATTTTTCTGCACTGTTCTCTGAGAAAATACAATACAGAGATAGTCAACTAATAGTTTCTGGAAAGAGGTAGAACCTGACAAGATGTATTTTAATTACAATGTGAAAGGCGACAGTGCAATTCGTATAATTCGATAAATTTAATTTCCTAACACGCTAGCCTGCAGGAAAAACAATTTTATTAGTGTTAGCTGCTGACAATGAAAATCATCTTGGATTGTTCTGAAGCAAGTCTCAGGAGACACCCAACTCTGAATGATAAAATCATATCTGAAATTACCGGGTCAACATATCATACCTTGGAGAATTAGATTATCTCCACTTTTAATATCCCTTTGGGAACAATTTTCTACTTGTTCCACTCCCCTGATTATTGCTGACCTTATTAAAATAAAATCAAAATTATCTGGGATGTACTTTGTTTGCTATCACTATTGTAAGTCAAATATCACAGTAACTAGCTTTGCTCCCCAATAGAGATGAAATCATAAAAAGCAAAATCAGGATTTGCCTGGTTAAAATATACAGGAAACAGTGTTTTAATGCAAAAAAGAAACACACTGAATCAGCCTCTGCAGTTTAATTTCATCTTTAAAGCATATCTTTGAAGGCAATACCATAAAATGGGACTCTGAAAATCACTATCACATCCAAGAAAGAAAGAAAAAAAAATCCAAAGGACAAAAAAGAATGATAGAAAGAAGTATGAGAGCCATATATTTTCAGTGAAAATTCCCATTAATAGGTTATTTCATAAATGATTATTGACATAGACACCAAAATAACCATACTATAAAAGACACATCATAAAACTTGGGCCTGGATATAAAAACAAGGTTGTATTTCTCAGAATCCATATAATTTTGAAATGACACATGGAAAGATTAAACATATTTTATGTTCTAAATTTAAAAGAATGCTTGTTTTTGTAAAAAATGGAAAACATTTGTCCAAATGGATCTTCTACCACTTACGGTGAATTTCAGAAATTGCCTGTATCTATACAACCCCAAATAGAGCAGAGATCTGAAATTTATTTGGGAAGCCTGGGCTGCATTAAAAAAGAAAATTCAGGTAACTTGGGCTTTTGGATCTATTTTGTATCCAAAAGACCAGATTTGCTTTCAACCTCTTCTTTACTTCC